TTAGTCGCAGGACCCGTGTGGGCCTGCGGGACTGACTGACAAGAGCATTCGCGTAATTACCAATGTATACTTACTAGTTTTGGGCGGAAGTGGTGTAGTGACAAGTGGCGCGCTTACCACGCGAGCGGTCCGGGATCAAATCCTGGGTCGTGAGTCGCCCGGGCCAACCAAGCCTTCCATCCCTCCGGGTCGGTTAATTGGTACCAGACTTGTCTGGGAGGATAAAAACACTGACTTGTACATCGGCTGGCCCCCGCAAGTCATTGTATAGGCCACATCGCATTCAAACGCCACTACGAATGTACAAATGGAAGTAGAATGCGTGCCGCATCCCAAAAAGGGATTGATCAACGGCAAATGCTTTATCCTTTTTTATCCTTATTATATCTTCTGTATATCATAAATCTTGAGATCTATCCTTGTCAGCTCCCGTATAAAAAATTCTCAAAATAGCGCATCGATGAAAAGCCAGAAAATCGATATGAAGCTGTTGACGACACTTGAGCCTTCCCTGGCATAGTCTTCACTTCAGAGTGCACGTTCGTCACGCAACCCATTTGCCCAGAAAGTGCTCAAGCTCTGTCCTCCCTCGTACCTTACGTAGCTATTCAGGACCGGGGCTTTGTTGGAGCGGAATTGCGACGGCCAAAATTTGTCTTTAACAAATAATAGTGTAGCGTACTGTCTTCTTCAGCGTACTGTGGTAAAAGCAAACTAGATTGCCAACCAAATTTTAGGAATTTTTATAAATCCTATTTTTTTTGAATTTAAAGTGCTCCCAACAATTTTATCACAGCCCCCGCGATTTCCCAGCAATTCATATTTCCAAGGAATTGGGCCAACTAAGATTTATCACTACTATAAGTCTAAGCGATAACTTCGCTATTAGGGATTGAAGCAGCTAGGAAAGAAATATTCTGTCTGACGCTATTTTGGCGAGAAACCTCCCTTTATGACAATGAGACGCAGGTGATGAAAGAGTGAAGCGAACTTGATGGTCCTTTGACACAACGAGCTCGATTTTTCTCCACCTCTGCCCATATAAGAAAGTGAGCACATACTGTACTCATGGCCCGTTAATCAGATACCCAAACACCCCTCAACCCTCCCCCACTCACCAACAAGCCCCCTACCTTTTCGAAGTCGAGCAAGTAGTAACAAGTGGTAACAGTGGGAAAAAACCCAAACTTGCACGTAGGAAAGGCTCTATAACAGCCCTTACCTGAACTTAGTGACACTACAAGTTCTACGGCACTATGACTTCGATCAGAAGTCGTATACCTGGCATATTCTAAAACGGATTAAACGGATTTTCATGCCTCATCGTTTACGCGCTTTCTTTTTCTGTCCACATTATTACTATCCTGAATCTGGTCTCGAAAGGGTTTAGTGCCAGGCAATTTCAAGTTAAACTAAGTTCCGTTAGGGCGGAAGTGGTGTAGTGGCAAGTGGCACGCTTACCACGCGAGCGGTCCGGGGATCAAATCCTGGGTCGTGAGTCGCCCGGGCCAACCAAGCCTTCCATCCCTCCGGGGTCGGTTAATTGGTACCAGACTTGTCTGGGAGGATAAAAACACTGACTTGTACATCGGCTGGCCCCCGCAAGTCATTGTATAGGCCACATCGCATTCAAACGCCACTACGAATGTACAAATGGAAGTAGAATGCGTGCCGCATCCCAAAAAGGGATTGATCAACGGCAAATGCTTTATCCTTTATCCTTAATTCCGTTGAGTTTAAGTTTTTGAGGAGGAATTCACGATAAGAACGAAGGTCAAAGAAGGGGAAAATTGCATAGTTGGGAGACAGGCGGACCTCCTGAGGGTGCTGACCGACGCGCAATTGGCAGCGAAAGATTTGACCTCGGCGACATGGCTCACTCTTGGCGCGGTTGGCGGGGTACGCCCACCGACTATCCTAATCACTCGCCGCAGGTCTATACGTGGCGAGTGATTAGATAGCAGAGAGCGTAGTGTTGAAGAGGGCACAGCGATGAGAGTCGCATCAATGCGCAAATCAACGGGCAAGGAAGGGGTCCCATTTCTCGGGTTCTGGGCCGTTTCTCATGGTTTTTCCTTCTTTCTTGTACCACTCACCATCCTTGAAGGCAAGAATCAGGATTACATGATGGGTTGATTCCACTCAAATGTGAAAGTAGGGATGAGAGGTGAGAGGTGGACCGCCGATGGAGAAAAAAGGAAAGAAAATCCTGAAATACACAGGAAATACGAGCATTTTGCTCCATGCTGTGGAGAAGTTCAAAAGACAGGCAGGGAGATGAGAGATAATGTGAGCGCGGAGAGTGGTAGAGAAGTCCGAGAAGAGAGAGCATAGCAGATCAACGCAGCGACGCAGACAAGATATCGATCGGTGGGCGGACCATGTTATGTTTGGTGGAGTCTGTTAGAAGTTCATGGCGCCTAGGGTCCTGGTGACGGGTTTCGATGTAGAAAGGTGGCGCTAACTTTGCAGGTGCCCAGCACTTCTAGCCATGGTAAGGGCTTCTTAGGTGGGTCTGAGCCCGAACTTTGCCTTTAACTTCATTTGAAACAAGTTGCTTTTTAATCGTAAATTCTGCCTTTGAGCGTTAAGATCAATATGAAAAGACAGCAGAGTGAAAATTGTACACTGGTGTGCAAAACTTAGGGACCAAAGCTACTTTCAATCACTGTGCCTCTGCCAGACAACATAGCTCGATGAAATTCATATCATATCAAGAGAGAACCTTAACGATACTGTACAGAAAGCAACTGACAGAAATTCGGAATAAGACGAATAGTTATGACATTTTTATTCAACCATGTCGATTACACATAAGTCTTCACGAATTATCCTGGTACCACAAAAGAAGTTACACGGATCCTAATAGGGTGTGTGATCACCACGGACAGCAATGCATGCTCTGCAACGCGATCCCATACTCTCCACGAGGTTGGTAATGAGTTCCTGGGGCAGGGCATTCCACTCCTCAATCAGTGCATTTGACAATTGCTGGATCGTCATTGGTGCAGTTGGTCGTGCTGCAATGCGTCTACCCAGTGCATCCCACACGTGCTCGATGGGATTTAGGTCGGGGGAACGGGCGGGCCACTCCATTCGCCGGATATCCTCTCGTTCTAGAAGCTCCTCCACCTGTGCTGTTCGATGCGGTCGCGCATTGTCATCCATGAAAATGAAGTCAGGGCCGACTGCAGCTCTGAAAAGACGGACATGATGTAGGAGAACGCTGACTGGTGGGATGGTTCCATGCTCAAAAATCTGGAGGTCAGTACGGCCATGCGACATGATGCCTCCCCATACCATAACACCTCGACCACCAGAACGATCACGTTCGACAATGTTTCGGGGGAGTTGCGTGTTCCCACCTCTCGCCATATGAGGGTGCGTCCAGAATCACTGCTCAGACTGAACCTGCTCTCATCCGAAAAGAGCACACGGCTCCATTCCTCATCGGTCCATTCGCCATGCTCCTGGCACCACCGTAAACGGTCTCGCCGATGCGCGGGGTCAAAGGAACACAACGTAGCGGTCGTCGGGCGAAGAGACCACCCCCATGCAGTCGTCTTGCCACTGTAGTGCGTGAGATGGCTCGCCTAGAGTCCTGTTAAACGTCGCTGCAATAGCCGAAGCCGACTGACGAGGATCTCTTCTTGCCTGCTGCACAATGTAGCGTCGTCCCTTGGTGTAGTTGTCCTTGGTCGGCCACCTCCTCGTCTTCGGGCAGCAGTACCAGAGGTTCGGAACGCTCTCCATGCACGTGAAACAACGCTGTGAGCGATACCGAACTCCTGGGCTACACTCCTCATGGTTCGACCTTCTTCGAGTTTCCCTATGATCCTTCCTCGAGTGAAGTCATCCAGATGCTCTCTTCGGGACATGATGTATCGAAGGATACTACCACAGTTCTTTGCAGCTACTCGTTGATTGAGAAAAAATTTTTTTCATACCCATCAACAGCCTCGATTTGCGTGGGTGCCCTTATTTCGCGCCTTATTTGAAGTCATATCCACGGAGAGGAAGGTCCAGCTTCCTGTGGCATAACCACTAGACGACTGGCAATATGCTCCCACACTTTCATTTACTTCCACCCACTCATTGGTGTTTTATGTTACTTTATCCATCTGGTCCCTAAGTTTTGCACACCAGTGTATAATTAATCATTATACTCACTACTAAGGAATTCAGTGCTATTATTTCGAAGCGTCAAGCTCGTGACGGCTTCGTATAAATGATTTTCTCCACGGACGTTGGGAAAAGCTATTAATCTTGTTTGCAGTTGAACCGTCGACTACCAGCACAACGACAACCATTGAAACTCTACCAACTCGTCCACCGACGGTAAGGAAACTCGTCCACCACAAGAAGCCTGGTGTGCATAAGATGGTGAAAACGACACGGAGGACCACAACAACAACAACCACAACTACTACACCAACAACGAGAACCACTACTGCTCAGTCAATCGCTAACGATATCGAACAGGTAGGTTAGACCTTTGCCCTCACCCCCTCCTCTGCCACTTCGCATTTCAATTATTAGATGGGGTTGAATTGAGGGGTGCTTCCTAAGGCAGACTCCAAATTTAGGCCTAACCAGGGGTACTTAGGGCTGATTGCAACCGCACAGTCTCCTCTTACAGAGGTGGGCTTTTTCTAGGTTTTCAACATGACTCCTCTTTGTAAAATTTGCCTAACCGCAGGGAGGAGGTGAACCTGACAGGGGGAAATCTATGGTGATTGTAATGAAAATGGTGAACGTGACAGCTGTCACGACCCTTCTGATTCTGGGGATTGATGAAGCTCCTCCTACTACCAGAAACACATGAAAAAATGGTAATGAATATGGAAATTTTGCCCTCGATCCCATACATCGATTATACGGGCCGAAGGGTACACTTCTAGGAACAATTCACCATTTCACCAGAAAACATGGAAAATTGGCGTCATTCTAGGAATTCGCACTTCCAACGGAAGCCGACACACAGTTTGGAATGAGTTTCGATGAGACGAGAAGGAAAGCTGAATGAAGAGATGCGAGAGGAGGACGAGAGATTACAGCAACTGCTGGCCGACGAAGAGGCGGAGATGAGCAGAGATGAAGAAGATGATGCGCAGGATCGAGAGGAAGAGATGCGCAAAGAACGAGAGCGGAATCGCATGGAAAGGTGAGGTTTCATTGTAAGAAAGTCTATGAAGGAAATCAATGTGAATGGAGTGGAAGGTCAGAGACGCAGAAAACATGGCGCACTCTCGTCATCTTGCGCTCTGACCGAAACAAAATATAGATTGTGTGCTGTATGCTTTAGACTACTGTGATTTTTTACAACCAAAGAATAAGCAATGCTCATTATAAATTCTCAGTAGTTAAAAATGAATTGTGAAAACCCACTTATCCTGTGAGCACAAATTCAGACGAGAAAGAGCACGCGCAGATGAGAGACGCAGGCAGACAGAAGAGCAGACACTACGGAATCAAGGGAGGGCGCAGAAACACAGAGAAACGATGGATTCCGTCGAAAACGACGACGGTGACTATGACGAATCACGATCGAAATCTACCACGTTAACGATCTCATTGTTTTCATCGATTTGCTCGTTATTAGTGTTGCTATTAAGGTATTGATTTATTGATTGGTCATCGTTTCTTGCTTGCGCTTCTCATCCCCCCTGTATGGTCTGTACTCAAGCACGCTAGATGCGACTTCTTGTGACGTCATTTCTGAATGTCATCTACATAGTATAGAGATGGGGCGCTACCTCTCAATTGTTACCGCCGGTCGATCGATTGATGGAATTTGTT